CTATCTATCTATCTATCTATCTATCTATCTATCTATCTATCTATCTATCTATCTATCTATCTATCTATCTATCTATCTATCTATCTATCTATCTATCATAAAGATTGTTGTAAAGCAAACCAAAGTACACATTTTAATGAATGAAAAGTGAACCATTTGGACACTGTGTTGGTTCACACCACAGGAGAAGGTTGTTTGTGGTGAATGTAACAATTCAAAACAACTGCAGGATGAGGGAATTCAATAAGCTGGAGAAATATCAAAGGCTGGAAGAAGAAACGGAGAAGCTGTGGAACATCAAGGCCTAATTGGAGCGCTTTTGTGCTGGTCAATGTTAAAGGAGACACGTCATGCAAAATCCTCTTATTCAGACATTTATTTTRAACATTTTGTTGTGYACTTCAAGTCTGTAGGAGTGCAGAAAACGTGGATTTAGTTTCTCTTGTTGCTGCATTGATATCTTTATATTCTGTTTGGGTCATATTTTTCAACCAGTACAGTTTTCTCTATTTTCTTTGCCATTTTCTGAACTATTACATGAAATTATTTGCAACAGAACTGCTAAATACGGTCTGTACCGACTACAATTTCACCATCTTCATTTTCCTCTGTCACCGGGTCAGACTCTGGCTCCAACATGTAAGGCTGGATGGACAAGTCTTCCCTTGTTGACATTGTTTAATTCATTTGGAAATTAAAAAAAAAAGATCTATGCCGCTATATATACTGGTCAAAAAAATAATGGGAACACTACTGCTCAAAAATAAAGGGAACACTTAAACAACGCACGCTAAGTCCAAGTAAATCAAACTTTTGTGAAGCACATTCAACTCTGTACAGAACAAAGTACTCAATGYGAATATTTCATYGATTAAGATCGGGAGTTAGCGTGCGTTGTTTAAGTGTTCCCTTTATTTTTTGAGCAGTGTAGTTGTAAACCCCTATCAAACTAGAGCAGACCAGTCTGGAAGCTGGAGGAGGGGTCAGGGGCTGTGAAGTCCCTTGTTTGGATTTAAAGAGACAGCCTCAAAACGAGTTGATCTGAGACACAGCTCAGAAAAAGGTTGAAAGAGGGGCTTAAGGAGTTACAATAAGGAGACCAAAGCATTGCAGTTCCACTTTATATAGACCCCAACGGACTGATTTATGTAAAAAAAAAAAAAGATTTAAAAGCAGTATATGTCTCCTTTAAAACATTGCAATTTTGAATGAGATTTGACTTTGAATGATATTGGCATTCAGATCTGTAGAACATGAAAGCCTAGACCCAAATCAAATGTGATATCTGTCTTTATTCATGCAACATGTGACTGAGATCTTTAAAACTCTTTATAAACGGTGACAAACACATATTTTTTTACATTGCTCACTTATCTAAAACGGACACTAGATGGCGCCAGATGAATCTGCAACTTCTTGAGCAGATGCCATTTGAATATATAACGTTCCATTTGAAGCACTAATTATAAAATAAATTCATGTTGATTATTTCAAAGCAATGCCAAATGCCAAGAAATTTGATTAACTGGTTCTTTTATCATATTCTTTGAAGTCGTGACCTAAATTTGAACATGCTTTGGCTCTTTACTAGCTTTTGTTTTGAAGATTAAGTTTTCTTGGAGGATGTGAGCTGTGCCAGAGCCTGAAAGAAGATCAACACCGTATGTTAGTAAATCTGGAGCCATTTCCAACAAAGTGCTCCAAATACTGGTAAAACAAACAAACGTTTTTTTTTTTTTTTTCAATTTATATCAGCAATTAGTCTTAATTAGCTGTGTTTTCCTGGYCTGTGTCAGCAGAGGGAGCCAGGTAACCTGTGAAAAATCCCCAGTATTGGTGCATGAACACGTTCCATTGTGATGAAGTCATAGCAGAGTATTAAAAGAGTAGTTAAGGAGAGCAAGTTTTTATATGTGCACCAAAGTGTTCAAGAGGAGAATGGATTTTTTTTGTTTGCTTGTTTTAGTTGCTCAGCACTTTCATTTTTTGTTAATGTCCGATAACAGGCTGCAACTCTTTATTTGTTGCACAACACAACTCTATATATATA